CCCAGCCCACAGAGACCCCGCCCGCTCCCCTGAGACATCCCCGCCTATGTCCCGAGGCCCCGCCTACACATTATTGACCCGCTCACGCTCCATCAGACCACGCCCTCGCCTGAAACCCCGCCCACGCCCCTCAGACCCCCACGCCCCATCTATCCACCCACACCCGCAGGCCCCGCCCACAATCTCAGCCCCGCCCACACACCTCATGCCTCACCCACACCCTCAGGCCCCGCCCCTGCTTTAAATCCCGCCTGCAGCTGGCGCGCGCCCGGAGGTGACGTTACGGGGCCGGCGTGAGGCGGAGCGGTGGCACCGGTCGGGGACGCGGGGTGTGCAGGTAACGGGGAATTCGGGGGTACGGGCTGCGCAAGTAACGGGGAATTCGGGGGTACGGGCTGCGCAGGTAACGGGGAGCTCGGGGGTACGGGCTGCACAGGTATCGGGGAGCTCGGGGGTACGGGCTGCACAGGTAACGGGGAGCTCGGGGGTACGGGCTGCACAGGTAACGGGGAGCTCGGGGAGCGCGATGCTTAGGGAGCGCAGTGTCCGAATGACGGAGTGCTGAGGGAATGATGTGCCCCGGGAACGCGGTTCTCGGGGGTACGGAATGGTCGGGGAATGCTCCGGGAAGCGCGGGGTGCTGAGCGACACGGGATGCTCGGGGAATGGAGTGCCTGGCTTTCGGGGTGCTCAGGAAACCCCGCTCCTGCTTGCAGGCGCGGAGCTGTCGCGCTTGTATATTTGATATTACGAAGGGATTTTTTCCATTTTAAGAGAGCGGTCAGAGGTGCAGCCGTGGCCCCGGCCGCCGCTGAGGTGCTGGCGGTGCCTGTTGTGAGGCAGGTGAGCAGTCCCGGGGTGCTAGCGCTGCTTTCCGGGCAGCAGGAAGCGTTCCAGTCAGTCTCCAGACAACCTGGAGCAAATCCCGCCGGAGCTAAGCCTCTGATGTCTGTCCTAATCCTGTCTGGGGGCTGTTGACAATGGCAAAGACCAACACAGGCTCCAATGGTTTTGTGCCCTCTCCAGTAAACAAAAAAAAGTGTAGGAATTTTGATGCTTCTCGCATCAAAAGTGGCAGAAGTTTGGGAGAGTGGATGGGATAAGTTTAATGGCTGCTTCTCTTGGGCTATGTGGCTTAGCCCTGAGAAGTAGAGCTCTTAAACTAATGAGGGAAAGCAGGAACTGTAGTGCAGGACAAAGGAAATAGCTTCCCACTACTAAAGGGCGGGGATGGATGGGATATTGGGAAGAAATTCCTCCTTGTGAGGGAGGTGAGGCCTTGGCACAGGCTGCTCAGAGAAGCTGTGGCTGCTCCATCCATGGAAGTGTCCAAGGCCGGGTTGGACAGGGCTTGGAACAACCTGGGATAGTGGAAGGTGTCCCTGCTCGTGGCAGGAATGGGGAGAGCTTTAAAATTCCTTCCAATCCAAACCATTCCTCTTTTCTCTTTGTAGGGCAGGGCGCTTCACCAGGCACAATCTTGTACTGTGCCTCATTTTTGCTAAATGGATAGCGATTGGGTGTAAGTAACACCTCTATGAAAGTAACATGAAAATAAAACCTTTAGATAAAACGGACAGGATCCTGCTTCCTCTCTCATTTCAGCTCTATGAGAATTTTGCTACTGGAAAGTGCTGAGGCCTTGCTGTGAATTCACTGACAGTTGTTCGTTTGACCTGTAGTTTTACTGCTTCAGAGGTAGGCTGCTCTTAATATACTGATCTCATTCTCAAAGCAGAGCAGAAAAAATAAAGGTAAATATTCACTTCATTCACTCCATTCACTCCAAGATGGAGTGAAGTTGTGATCTTATTGCTCCAAGGAGGCATTTGAGCCGTGAAAACTTGAATTTTTGTGGTAACTTTATGGATCTGGAAGTGTGGAATTTCAGGAATGGGTTTGATATTACTGCTGGAAAGGGGAGCCCTGTGCACCTCTTTTCCATCCCTTTGCTTGTCTATTTTCTTTGCTCCTCAAATGCAGGTGTAAGTGGTGTGGTGGGCTGGACCCAGTGCCAAACCGGCAATTAGCACCATATGGGAGTTGAATCCATGGAGCTCTGTGCCTGTACATCCAACAGGGAGAGGCAGGCCCGCCCATTAGGCAGTGACAGGGATCCAAATCAGTTAAGCTGCTCCTGAAGGTGTTCCCCAAGGCTACACTTTGCTGGACTGTCCTGGTGTGTGTGGTTTGTCTTTTTGGTGGTTGTTGTTTTGTTTTGGATTTTTTTGGGGATGAAAGCTGTGCACTACTCCTTATTTCCAGATGTTCCTAATTTCCTCAGCCTCTTCATTCTACTCTTTCCCAGGAGAAATATTTTTGTTTCCTGAAAAAGTTTCCTTTTGGGTGCTGACCAAACTTCTGCCTGTGAAAGGTTAGAAATAGAAGAACTGGGGAATTTTTATAATGCTATCTGTGGTGGTTTTCACCCATAACTACATGGGAATCATTGCTTTAACAGATGTTCTGGTTTAAAGAGCAAAACCAGTTTTTGCTAAATGTAAAGGTGGGAGTGCTAACAACAAATAAAGAAATCACAGAGAACAGGTGGATAAAGAATAGAAACAGATGTAGGAAAGAAGGAATTACTCTCAGTTGCTCACTTTTGGCCTGAATTGTATTTTAACAGCTGTTTCTCACAGCAGAAGGCTCTCCATCCAAAAAGATAAAAGGTGAGACTATTGGCAAAAAATTATATCAGGTACATGCAGAGAATTTTTTTTTTTTTTGTATAAACAGTTTTTTTACCCTCACTAAGACCAGGAGCAGTTAACCTGGAAAAAAATTACTTTTGTTTATTGTGTTATTTTAAAGTCTGTGTTAGTATAGCAGTTCATGCTTAGTGGCAATTAGTGAAGAAGAAATGCTTCTCCTTGTAATGTGCAAGACTTATATAAGCCTTTGTGACATAGATTAATTGCAATGTTAAAATACGACTTGTGGGACAAATGCTGAGTTTCCAGACCTTGGTGTGGTTTGTTTTTAAGTGCTTTTTGTCATGTGGCTCTTGCCCCTGCCCTGAACCTGGTCTGCAGTGTACACATCCCATTGTTTACATCTGCTTTGCTGGAAGCATTTTCCTTTAGTTCCCTTATTGAAATCACTTATGCTGGCTCTAACTGCTGTCCCTATAGAATTTTTCTTCACAAGTTCTCATGAAGAAGAGAGCTTGCCTGTTATTATTTTTTGTTAGAAATGGCTGCATAACCTTTTACAAGTGACTATATCCAGTATTCCAGGTGGGTCTCAGCAGTGCTGAGGTCAAGTTAAATATTGACTTGTGTAGGACTTTGGTCTTGGGTAATCCCTGCTGAAGCTGCAGCCAGGAGAAAGGTGTTGTGGCAAAGATAGTCACTTTAAGCCACCCCCTCCCAAACTGAAGCCAGTCTGACTGTGGGGAATGGTCCTAGAGGAGACTCAAAATCCCCTAGAGTGTCCCCATGTCCAGGGCTGGGAGTCTGCATGATGTGAGGAGACAACCACATCTGTACCTGGCAGCAGTGACAGCCCCAGTCTGTCTCTGTACTGAAAAGGCTGGAATTTGGGGTCTCTCTGATGGTGCCACGTCTGGTGGTTTGTTCTAATCTTGCTCTTATTTGTATTTAACTGTCCCTCGAGCTGGAGGGAATTGTGTGTGCCAGGAGCCCAGCTGGCAGGAGGTCTCTGCTCTGGGACCATGGCTCCTACTACAGAAGGCTCTTTGTCCTTTATAGACACGTGATCCCTAGAAAAAAATAAACATTTCTCATTCTTGCAGAGATTTGCTCTCAGATATGAACTAAGCAATAACTGTTTCAGCACTTTCAGCCTGCTCCATCCTTCCTTGTGTTGTGGGCTGTTTTACAAAAGTCTAAAATCTGCTTGCTAAACTTTATTAGAAATAGAATTCCTCTGGGACTGACAAGATAAATTTTGTTCTTGGTGATGTAGCCTGTATCGTTCTTGACTGCTTTGCTGTGGAGAGCTCAGCAAGCAACATAGAGCTATATATTAAAGAAAACTAATTTTTCTCTAGCTAAGAGGCTTTCGAAGAGGTGGGAGACATCTTAGACTTTATTTGCTTGTGGGGAGCAGGAATTTCAAACTAATCAGAAAGTTTTAGCAAGAAAAAGAATATCCAGTCATATATGGTGCTTTAGGTAAAATAATTTTGCCATCCTTTAATAGTAAAATATTTTGAGCTGTTTATACCTGGGGGAATAAGTTATTTTATATCTGTGGTAAGTCTGTTTTCTGTCAGAATCTGGTTCTAGGAAGATTTTCATCCTGTGTTATTGGAAGAAGGTTGGGTCGGTCATGTGTCAACTTTGTTTACTATAAACTGAGGTTTCGATGGAAGAAACATTTTGTTTTAGACGCTGGATTGGGTTGCTGACTCCTGCTTTTTAACTTTCTATTTTTGAAACCATTTCCTTAAGTGTGATGGGTGTGAACTGAAGAACCTGTTGAGTTCTACGGTTGGCTCGAGTTTTTAGCATTCCTGTCAACTTTCTCCACTTTGTGAATGCAGTGTAGCAGTGTGACTCACTGTCAGGTGTGTGTCACGGATGTGTGGCTGTCTGGTGTGACTGAGGTCAAGGTTTAGGCTGAGCTCCAGATGGTGGCCAGAGGATTACTTTGAGAGCTAATTACAAGGCTTCTTTGTGTAAGTCTGAATAGTTACGTCACAAAGATATTCTTTAATGATTCATCAGGCAATTTAGTGGGGGAAATAGCCCACAAGTTTTTAACTCTCTGAGGAGGTGTGTTTTGTCCTTAGCCTGCCTGGCTTGTGTTGAGCCGTACCCCAGCACTTGCAGGCTGATTTAATGGGCTTTCACTTCCTGACTCTGCCAATGGGTTCTCTGGCATCTCTGAACTCTGGATGTCTCTTTTTGTCTGCATGTGTGGCCTACATTTCTCCTTGCACCCACCTCTGGAGCAGGCAAGCTGCCGTGGTGTGGGCTGTGAACAAAGGCCTCTGCCTGTGGTTAGTTCAGGCGTGGACTCCCTTGAGTGAGCAAAGGCTATTTCTGGAGTTCCCTCGGGGAGAAGGTGATCAGGAATCCAATCTTGGAGCTGAGCAGAGGGGAGCACAGCAGTGTCAGCCTTGGTCAGTGAGCTGGGTCAGCTACTGGTGGTAGTTCTGTCAGAGAGGATCCTGTCTCCTGCAGAAGGGCATTGGCAAGGTCACCTGACAGCAAAGTGCTGAGAAAACATTAATTTTACTCCATTGGTTTGTTACAGTCACCAAGAAACGCCTTGTCCACATTTCAGAGACTTGTGAGTTTTGGTTGCTCCTATCTTAGCTCAACAGATTTGCCCAACTCATGGATAAAGAACTTTGTCCCCAGCATCCATATCTCTGGATCAGTGTGCCAGCCTTTCTTGTGAGGTTTACATTGTCACTCTCTTGGTGCCACTATAGTTGTGACCTTTGGCTTGTGGCAGGATGGCTCAGTGCTAAGGGGGATGAAATTTCCTTGCAATGTTATCCTTCCCTGTGTCTTGGCTGCTCAGGTATCCCTCAAAGAGGAGTTTCCCACTGATGCTGTGTATCCAGCGCTGCTGGTGGCTTCAGGTCAGCCTGACACCTAAATGTTGGTGGAGCAAACAGAGTGCTGGGCTCTCATGCTGGTGGTGCCATGGACCTCAGCAGATGGCAGCTGGATGGTGGAGTTTTCATAGAATCATTTGTTTTCTACCTGTTTTCCTTGCAATCTGAACACTAAAGTTCACCATGTTGCTTGGCGGCATTGGGACACCGCTTTGGGAATAAGAATGTTTAGGAGTTGCTTTAGCTGTAGGGTTGCTGGAAGGATTCCTGTGTTCCTGGGCACAGGTCAGTGTGTCACATACCTGACACAGAGCACTGTGACCTCCCTGGTTCCCTTATAAACAGAGCTGTCCTTTAATGGGGTATTTACATTCCCCAAGGCACAGTGTCCTGGAGTTTCAGTGTGCTTGTCTGTCTGTACTGGGAGGAAATACCAGTGCTGGTTAACGGATTTAGTGTGTTCTCGTGGGTAGGGGCCCCTCCTGCAGCCTGGTGGGCAGAACAAGGGTTCTGTCTGTAAGCTACAAGTATTATTTTTGTGTTCAGTCATCCATTGCATGTTCCTGTGGGCAGGAGCTCTCTGGGCAGAGATAATCCAAACTGTTGATGTGCTCTGTGTAGTGCAGTCAAGAAGAGGAGCTCAGTGGACTGATGGGCAGTTGGCAGAGCACATACCTGTATAGAAGCCTCCTAGTGCTGAGGGCCTTAGGGAATGTTTGCACAGTCATTTTTCCCTGTGTCTAGGGCCGGAATGTACTGTCTGCAACAGAAAGTCACCATGATATCTCTTAAGAGGTAAACGGATTTGTATGGGTTTTCCTTTGCTTTGTCAGGGAATAGCTGGCCTTGGGGCCAGCCATGAGCTGACTGCTTTTCTGTGTTTCTGAACATACTGAAGCAGCAAAGATCAGTCCCCAGAATCCATGTGAGATTGAGTCAGGACCCTTTTCAGAACCCAGATTACCTTGAAGTCTCTGCTTTAATTTCCAAAGTAATTCAGTTCTCCTTTAAAAGATCTAAACCTAAGCCCTGGCTTCCTGGTTCATGGAGTGGGAGGCTATTGTGTACCTGACCTCAAACTGGCTGCTGCTCAAGGTTCTGCAACATGTGATGCCTGGTGTTGCATCAGGTGATGGATGGGGGATTTTGTTGATTCCCTCTTGGCCAAGGCATCCTTGAACCTTCTATTTTGAGACGCCCATATGGTTGCAGGACTGAAAGAAACACAAACTTCAGTGTTGCATCCCATGGGCTGGTTCTGGGAAGCTGTTGGCAATTACAGCAACAGCCCTTGCTTCTCCAGACTGTCACTAGAACCAGGAAAGGTGGTGGTAAAGAACCTGCTCAGCCTCTTTGTGCTCAATGAGCTCAGTGTTTTCTTTGGGGGTCACTTCATACTCCTTCATTTCCCTTCTTCCCCTGTAAGGCATGCTTTTTCCAAGGTTGTGCCCTAAGATTTCATTTAATTTTTGCTGAAACCTCACACCTCTGAGAAGGTGGTGCTAGACCACACCTGTTTTTCCATAATTAGAGGATTGAATCTTCCAGACATTCTCTGAAGCCACTGAGAGAGCAAGGCTATTGCCAGAATCACCTGGAAGTGCATTAGGGACTCTTAGGGGCTTCTTTATTCTCTGTGTGATGAGAGATATTCCTTGTCCTCCTTTCTCTCAGAGAAAGGGCTAACTCAGATTATGCTGATAGCATTAGCGAAGAACAATTCCAAGTCCGATATCACTCTACAGCAAAAACTTGGAGGTTTGTTGAGACACTCACCAGGCACTGGGACTTTGCAGGGTATCCCAGGAGTGAAACTGCATTTTGTGGAGCAAAATGTACTAAGAGTGAGGTTTGCAGGGGGGACTGATGCTTGTGTTTGAGAGAGCTGAAAGAAGGATCTCAAAGGCAGAGCTCTACACACACGTGCATGTGTGCAGTTACCTGAAGTTCAGGAGAGCTGCTTTTTAAACACTTTTCTTTAATCCCTCTTGTCTGTATGACACTCTGCTCTTTCTTTTGTAATTCTTGCAGCAAGCTGACAAGGACTGTGAATTTGGGATATGTGTAAAACCACTATACCTGTGAGCTTGCAAAGAGGTGTGGGACTTGTCCTGCAGATATTCCTAAAAAAGGAAACCCTTGGAGATACTTTGCATCTCCAGCAGTGAAGCATAAAAGTGGAAATGGACAGTAGATGCTGAGCTGTAATTATTGGGAAGCAGGAGTCTTTTCTAGGCTAGTGGGAATGTTCAGAGTGTGACCTGAGTAATCTGAAAGAGTCGAAGGGTTTCACTGCCTTGAGCAACTTTGTGACTCTTTAACAGATGTTTCCAAAAGGACACAACATTGATAACGGGAACTGCGGGATGCGCCACGTTGCAATTTTATCTGCCTAAGTAGCTGCTCATCCAATTCCATTAATGTTTGCATATTTAATAAACTTCTAATGTGGGATTTTAATGAGTTGGCAGTTATCTCTGAACACCCAGCAGCAGCAGCAGTCTCAAAGTTTAGGTGGCTCTCAAATGGAGATTTCTCTCACTTAGAAGGCATGTGGCCTTTCCTTGGGCAGTCAACACTTGGCAGGCTGTGGAATACTTTGATTTGGTTTGTATTGATGTACATCAACACTGAATTTTTAATTTGGATGGAGCCCTAGGGTTAAGTTTTTGGGGGAGGCATCTTTTTAGAAAGCCGGATGTAAGAGAAGTGACCTTGGTTAATCTTGTAACACACCATTTATCTTCTTGGGATGTTTCTTGCTAGTGATCTAGTTATTTTGGCTGCAAAATGGGACTGCCAGGGAAATTGCTTCTAACGTGGCGTTTGCTCATTTACACTCCCAGTGCTTTTGCTTTGCCTTTTCAGCCTAATTTTGCAAACGTATGTCCAGCTCCTCATAGTCCCAAGCAGGGCAAGAGGTGCCCTGGTTGTGCTGCACAGTTGGACCCAAGTGTCTCTGGTGAGGAGAAGGAAGGTAATCTGTCGTCAAGGGAACTGCAGCAAAATTCAGCAGAACAGTTCAGTGTTTATGCTTTTGAGATAAACTTGAGTGTAGTAAGTGTATGTCAGTATGTCAAATGTAGCAGGCAAGGTGAAAAGGGACTTTTGATAACACAGTGCAATTCTCAGTTCTGGCAGCAGTATGACTTTAAGTAAGTCCCTTGCATGTTCCCAATCTTCAGGATGAATTCTCAGTATGCTGCTATGGATGGTAGATGTGTAAGCTGTGAGGGTGGCAAGGGTAAGGAAATAACTCCTTACAGCCTCCTTTGAGATAAGACAGCAGTAATTCAGTGACTGGACTATCAGATAGGTTTCAGGCATCCTTTCAGTGGGCCTGGTAGAAAGCAGGAAAAATTTAGTGTTTATCTGAGCTGTATTTTAAATTGAAGTTCTTTTTATATCTCCAGAACACCAGTTTGGGAGGAACAGCAAAGAGAGTTAAGGACAAAAGCTGATGGACCATTACATCTTCCAAAATGAGCCTTTTCACACTTTCCTACTGGAAAATAACATGTCCTGAAGGTGAGTAGGTTTTGTATGTGACAGATAAGCTGCCCGATGTCTTGGGCCTTGACCAAAGGCAGATCCACCCTCATCCCAGCTTGGCCTGACACTGCCTCTCTGGCTGGCACAACCCATGGAAACTTGCTTGTGAAAATGTGTATTTTATCACCAGGAGAAATAAGGAGAAATATTTTCCACTAATTAATTTTCATTGATTTAGAAGTCTTTGAAAAAGATGAAGTGCTTAGTGAAAGAGGTGAGCCATTGGGAACACAGATATTTTCTGGTGAGTGGAGAAAATGGTGTAGTTGTTTTATTTGCATGTAAGACGAACTTTGGTTTAGTTTGGCGAGTGTATTAAATTACATAAGGCATTTTCAAGTTTTGTTTCAGTTGTACCTCAAATGATATTTTCAGTGTTCAGAAGAGCTGAAGAAGAGTTCTTGCTATCAAAGATGATAAAGTAATTTCCCCAAAGTAAAGAACATAATGCTTGAATGAAATTAAATCAGAATTGTATTTTGTAGAGTTTGTGGTATCTTTTATGTTATTTTTGTACTCAGCCCCTTGGGGCTGTAGGCAGTGACCGTACAGTTTTGTTTTAAAATCCTTTAGTAACAGAAATCAAAATGGGAAATGTTACATAAGTCCTGAACTCGACATAGAAATAAAACCAGCATTTCTGAGACAGTTAAGGTTTAAAATGTCTTGGTTTAGACTTTACTCTCACTTTAATAAATAACATAAAAGGAAGCCATGAGGTATGTAGGCCGAAGTTTGCCTGCTAAGCAGCATTAATTGATTTTTTTTTTTTTTTTAATTAGGCTAATAAATTTGCCTTTCTGATGGCTTCTTCGTTAATAATTATTTTTTCTTTTTTTTGTCATGAGCCAACTTGCAGCTCTGAGCTCAAAGACAGTAGTGGAGTGTAAATGGTGAAAAATAGGTGGTTATCAGTAGGCATTCTGCCTGCACAGAAATCGCTTGAAAATGTTCAGCACTGGTGTCACATGCCTTTTGTACATAAATGTGTACATAAATGTGATTTGTACATAAATTTGTGCACAAATGTGAGGAGAAAATCCCAGTAGAAGTTCAGCCTGGAGTGAACTCTTCATGTGCTTTTATAGATTTGAAGCCATGTGAGTTCCTTGAACATTTGTATATTTGGTAGCAGGGAGAGCCTCTCAGGAATGTAGGACTTGACAGGTACAAGAGGATGCAGTGTCAGGGGATTTTACTTGTTGAGGAAGAAAAGTCTTGTAGCTGGAGAGAAAAATACTGTTCACATTCATTGGTGCTCTTTGGTGTCTGCTATGATCTGCACAGTTCTGCATAAAAGGATGGAAGCTTGAAAGCCCCAAAGCAAAAGGTGTGACTGAGTTCTAAAAGCTCTCTTTCCTAAGTGCCTGTGTTTTCCAAGTGTCCTCTTCAGATGTTATCTGTGAACCTTTTGCCAAAAACCCCATAAAGCTGAGGAATCTCACTGTGAAATACCTTTTCTGGTGTAGTCTGTGTTTTGCTGTTGTGTGGATGTTCTCTGCCTTTTGCTTTCTCGTTTCCCGGTCAGTAAAAATCGTGACTTTACTGTGTGGAGAAAGATTGTGCAACAGAGTGAAGAGAGAGAGTGAAAAGAGGATATTTTTGCTGTTCTAAGGCTCCTTTGTTCTCAGAGGTCAGGAGGAGCTGAGCTCCAGTGATTTCATGCACTCTCCTATTACCTGTTCTCATGCTGGCCATAAGCCTAAAGGGACAGATCCTCCTCTGGATGAGTCATTAAATAAATATCAGGCTGTGCTGGTATTCCTGCTCTGAGTACTTGTGTGTTGTTTACTTGCTGTTTTCTTAGCTGCTATCACAACCCCAGCAGATTTTGTCAGTACAGGGACTTCTCACGGTGTGCAGCTGGGGAGAGGCACCTGCACTGGAGCCAGGAGCTGTTCCAGCCTTGTTCAAGGAGGGATTTTCAACAGTAGCTGGGAAACACTTGGAGATATTTCCAGTAAAACCGTTCTGGTTCTTGGCTCTTGATCAGAGGCGTCTTGCCAGATGTCCTGTGGGCTGGATGTGGTGCCTGCTCTGGCTGCATCCCTCCTGCAGGACAGGGCATGGGAAGAAAGTGCATCCCGTGGGAGCACTGGAGCACAGAGTGTTCAGAGCTGTCACTGGAGTGACAGTGTTTGTCAGCACTTGTCTCTTGGTTTGTTTCAGCAGTTTGTTCCTGCTGGGCTGCTGCAGGGAGGGCTGGAGCTCTGTCAGCTGTGCTTCTCCAGCAGCTGCTGCAGCCAGAGGTGGCTCAGGAATGATTGTAGAATCCTAGAACCATGAAATGGTTTGTGTTGGAAGGGACCTTAAAGCTCATCTAGCTCCAGCCCTCGTCACTCACTAGATCAGGTTGCTCAGGGCCCCATCCAGCCTGACCTTGAACAATTCCAGGGGTGTGGAAGCCACAACCTCTCTGGGTAACATTTGATGACATGGTGCATCTCTTGGCGGAGATTTGCAGCTTCCACGGGGACAGGTACACGGTGCTTCATGTGTTTGTGCTCACTGGGAAGCTCTACTAGCAAGGGATAAGTTATGCTATCCACTGGCCCACCCATCCACCATAAGACTGACTTGCAGTGTGCACACATTCTGATATTGGATAACCACTGGGTTTTGTCTGGAGTCTGGATTTGGGTCCGTTTTTCATGTGAAAATTTGATTGTATCAGGCTTCCATCCTAACTCTAAAACCTTGACTAGGTGTAGAGGTCCCTGGTAGGTTCTTTCCTTGCCTGTCTGCCCCAGCTGAAAAAAACTGTAGATGTTGTGTGGATGCATTTAGAAAAATGTTTGATTATGTTCTGGTCATGTGTAACTTTTGGATACTGATTAGTAGATACAGGTGCAGCAATAAAGAAACTGTAAATTTGCTAGGTAGCATTGCAGGTAGTCTGCAGGTCCCTGTATCAAATAGGATTATATTGTTTCTCAAGCACATTGCACTTGTCATCTTGAAGCAGAATTACATTTCTATTAAAATAATGTTTGCTCAGTGCTTCCAGGTAAAGGAGAATTCAGCATTACTGATAAAGACCACAATCCACTTTTATTTAATTCATTTACTACTTGGCTTGGTCTCCATTCTCTGGTGCCTGAGCATTGCATTGTCTGCTATTTTGGAGTAGCTGTGTTTGGAAAGCTGCTCAGTTTTTTGTGTTCTGTTACCACAATTTTTTTTTGCATTGAAACCTAGCTACTGTCTTTGAGGTGATGCATCTTTTTTAATCTCTAATCTCTGCTTTCTCTTTTTCGGTTTATACAACCATGATAAAAGTTTATGCTGGGGTCAGTTTATGATAATACATTCCTTTTCTCCTTCCTTCAAGCCCCAGTGCAAATGAGGAAAGCTAAATTTACTGTCTGTTCTTCATGCCTTTTTGTCCAGCGCAGAAGAAAATTAAGCTATTTTGACCTTTCTTTGACACTTGTAGTCAGCAAAGATGAGGGCAAAGGCTTTGTAAAAGTAAATGAAATCAGTATTGTTTTCTTCTAAAATTGTTATTAATGTGCTATAGTGTGCTCCACTTAAAGTCCCAGCCTATGAAGGCGAATGCAGGCAATCCCAGCTGCTATTTCATCCACCTTCAAGGGTTTGTCCATCTTTGAAGTGCCCTGTGGCAGAGGTTTGAGTGAGTACCACACACCTCTGGTGAGCTCTGTCCTGTCTTTCTCCTGGCATTGCTGGTACTGCCAGAGCATCACCTGGGTGGAGCCTGAGCAGGGCTGGCTGAAATCAAGGGCCCTGCCACTGGTACACGGCATGGAGCAATTAACTGGATGGTTTCACAGAATCCCAGAATGGTTTGGAAGGGACTTTAAAAATCATCTCATCTTACCCCCTGCCATGGGCTGGGACACTTTCCATTATCCCAGGTTACTCCAAGCCTTGTCCAGCCTGGCCTTGGGCACTTCCAGGGATCCAGGGGCAGCTGCAGCTTCTTTGGGCACCCTGTGCCAGGGCCTGCTACCCTCACAGGGAAGGATTTCTTCCTAACATCCTATCTAAATCTCTTGTCTTTTAGTTTGAAACCATTCCCCCTTGTCCTTGCATTCTCCATTGCAGCTGTAATTTAGGAGGAAAAAGACTGTGCATAGTTTACTACCCAAAACCTGATTGTGTGCTGCTACTTTGTATTTTTCTGTTGTACTTGAAAAATGGAGCTATGCACTATTAAATGGTTGTGCTCTGTCCTGAGAGGGAAGGTAAGAAGGGGAAAACTTAATTACTTGACAGAACGTTGCAGCAGTAGCAGAGGATGTTGTGTCTCAGTCCAGGTGATTTTCAGGTCTAATAGATCTCCTGCTTACATTTTGCATTCCTGCTTCTCTGCTGTTTATTTCCTAGACAGCTGTGCTTGCACTGGCTGCCTTATCTCAAGGGTGATTACACTGGTATCTTTATTTGCTCTGCCCTGCGCTGGCACCAGCCCTCAGCCAACCCTCTCTGTTTCCAGCCTTAGGATGGGCAGAGTGGAAGCTGCAGAATCAGCTGGTACTCAATGCCTTGCTCATGGATGGGAGAATTTTGTTCACTGAGAAACTGGACAGCGTAACTTGGTGGTGAACTCAAACTGTGGTTGCTTGTCTCAGGCACAGGAAATGGAAACCAGCCCTTTTTCCTGATAGAAGAGTAGTTTCCAAACAGGTGGTGGCCCCAAGTAAAGGCTTTTCTGGATACACTCCTCTAGAAAGTCATAATACATTTATGCAGTGTGCTGTCTCTTGCAGTTAAAGTGATTGGCAGTTTTCGGGAATCTGAAAAATGCAAGGGATTTGCTTTATCACGGTACAGTACAGAAAATTTCCCTTTGCTGTTTCCCCACCAGAAATGGCACAGCTCTGTAACAGAGTAAGGTATAGGTCACTGCTCTGAAAAGAGCTTATCGCTTCAGAGATGCACATGGTGTTGCTCAAAAACTGCTGCTGCCATCAGCCAAACCAAATTTGTAGTTACATTGCTGTGAAAAATGG